ATGATGGTGGCTTGGGCCAGGACATTGGCAGTGGAATTGGTAGGCAGTGCTCAGATGCCAGATACATTTTGAATAGCATTTTTTGGGTTGTAAGAGAAGGGGTATCAGTAATGGCTCCAAGGCATTTAAGAGTAAATAGAAGGATGGAGTTACAGCAACTCAAGTGGGGCAGACTTGAGTGCACAGGTTTGGAAAAGAAGCCAGTAGCTCTACTGTAGATAATATTAAGTTTGAGGTGCCTATAAGATAATGCATGCCTATAAGGAAATGCAAAGAGGCATATGAAATGAAGGCTGGAGTTCAGGAGAGAGATCCAGACAGAAGATATAAATAGGGAGTTTTCAACCTACTGTTGGTACTTAACACACTAAGACTGCCTGAACTCACAGGTCAGAGAGGGTAGCCAGAAAAGTTCAAGGACTGAATCCTAGGACACTCCAAAGTCTAGACATGAGAGGAAACCCAGTATAACGCAACAAGTAGAAAGTATTTTGAGGAGGGAGTGAGCGATTGTGCAAATGCTTCTGGGAAATCAAGCAGGAAGGCTTGAGATGGGTAACCGAGAACTGATGCTTGGATTTAGCAATATGGAATTTAGTGGAGACTTGACAAGAACTGATTAGGAAGCCAGATTAGAATGGGATCAAGAGAGAGTTGGAGGTAAGGAATTAGGAACAACGGTAGGGGAAACTCTCTCAAGAACTTTTGCTCTGAAAGCAAAGTAGTAATGTGGAGGTACCTAAAGAAGTAGTGGAATCAAGTGTTACAAATACCTGCTTAGTCCAGGCAAGGTGGCACACACCTGTAATCCCAGTGACTTGGGAAACTGAGGCAGGAGGATCACAAACTAAAGGCCAGCCTTCACAATTTAGTGAGCCCGTCTCAAAATGAAAAATAAAAAAGGGATGAGGATTTATCTCAGTGAATGGGGGAAGGCTGAAGGGCAGGGGGATGCCCCCATTCTGCTTCCCAGCCTCCACAGGGCTTGGTGTCACTTGCCTATAGTTCTAGCTACTCCTAAGGCTGAGGCAGGAGGATGGCTTGAGCCCAGGAGTTTTCTGGGCAAAGATCCTATCTCCTTGAACCAAAAAAAAAAAAAAAAAAAAAAAAAAAAAAAAAAAAAAAA